CATCAATGCACGTTATGGGCTACGAGCATCATAAGTTTGTCAGTAGTAGCACGTGGTAGTGTTCTAGGTAGTCGTAGTCATTGCAAGAATCTCTGCAGCAGAAAGGTAATTGCGCTGGCGCATACCATGCAAGAAATCATACCTGCTCCAAACATCTAAAGGAAGAAGGAGTCAATAGAAAACAATGAAGTTTGTGTGGATCAACCAATATATGACTTGCCAGTAGTTTTAGTGAGTCAAGTGGTGGTATGGAAGCCTGTATTCAAGAGTCCTGATGGCAGTATAGTCATAGTTGACCTATGTGCGGACAGTCGGACAGTCGACAGCTCTGTTTGTCTTTCAGGGATTTGAGCCCTTGACATTCGACTCACCAATGAGTTGTCTCAGCCCTATACTGCAAGCATATGACCTTGCACAGGCTTACATCAAAGACACACCTGAATATTCTGGCACAGGTCGTGTTTCCTTGCACCGCGGCCAGTGGCCACCCGAACCTTTGCCCTCAGGTGATGATAAGGGTCAACTGATCATCAGCCAACCGGAGGCAGAGCATGCAGGGCATGATGGGGCTGTCAAAGGGGAATGAATCAAACAAACATGTGAGGCACTCCTTCGGGAACTGAACATTTGTGAACATCCAGATGAATTTGCAGGGTAGAGCTCTTGACTCAGATCCAAGTAGGGTTTGTGCACGTTGAACTTCCCTGTGACTCATCCAGGACCTGAGTTCTTCTCATCGGCGGTTCCTCGTCCGCCGGTCGTCCGGCTCCTCCCTCGCAGCTCGACGGTCCGGTCGTCGTGCGTCGCAGGTGGAAATCTTCACTGAGCCCGACACCAAATCCAAAGCCGGGTCTCCAAGCAGATGGGGGATGATGATTTTTCAGTTGAGACAAGGGCAGATGAGACAAGCTCCCAGCTGAGACAAGAGCAGATGCTTTTTGAAGAAACGCGACTGGACATTGGATTTACCTACAGTAGGACCTAGGAAACCTTGTTTGTCTCTTTCCCGCGCCTCAGGTTTGGTACTGAACCCCAGTTTGTAGTTGTTTGGTTTGTGTCTCTTGACTCAAACTGTCTGAAGGCGGACAGATGCACAGAGTGGGTTTGTTGCAACATCAGGGACACCCGTTTGTCCGATTCCGAGGTGCTCAACTGTGTTCTGCACTCAGCAGATGTTTCCAACCCATGCAGAGCATGGGATGTGACACACGTGGCTGCCTCAGATCTGAAGGCACATTCTCTTCAGTGGGCCAATCATTATCAGTTTTCTCACCAAACGCTATATCTTAGCAAGTTGGAATCCATCTATCTCTATCATAGCTCCGCCTCCAATCGTTGTCTCCTGAAGGATTGGGCCATGGTCTGCCTGGAAGAGTTCTTCGCCCAGGGCGACCAGGAGAAGTTACTGGGCATTCCAGCCGGGAGCCCTGTCCGGGCAGTCTCCGCTCCTGTCCGGTGAGTGGGACGGAAAAAGCGGGGGTGGGAGGTCCGGGGGTGGGAAGATCTGATGCAGCAGCATCAGTGGTCGGGCTTTGGAAGGCCTGAAACTGAACCATTTTCTTGCTGTTTCTGCGAAAGATGCGGGTTTCAAGCCAGCACCAGAGGCGCAAAAGGTCCCAAAGAAGCCTAGTTCCAAAATGAAATGATTTTGCCTTGGTCAATTTTCTGATATCTTTTTCGTGTGTGTCTTCTTGACACTCAACTCAGTTGTTTGACTCTCCATCTGCTCCCTTCACAAACTCGCAGTTATAGAGAGAGAGAGGGAGGTGAGTTCTTCAGCCTGATTGGAAGACCAACTTTGGAGGTGCAGTTTCTGAATGATCGAGACAAGCTGAACAAGCCCAACTCGCAGATTGGCTTTATTGAGCCACTTGGACCCCCATTGAGCCGAGGTTTCGGTGGTTTCACGGAGAAACTGTATGCTCCTGCTTGCGCACAGAGTCCGATGGTGCCCAAGTTGGGTGGTGAACCAAAAGACTTTGATCCAGAATTGGAGAAGTCAACAGGTTGGAAACCAGGGATCCACACTTTGGACACCCGGTTCGTTTCTTCAATCCACGATCCTGAACTGATGAACTCGACAGTCATCCACATCGAAACATACTTCTTGAAGGCTTGGTTCGCGAGCGAGGGGACCCCGAAAAAGCCTTCGCCGCTCAGGCTTTTGGAGTGGCCAGGTTCCGTGGAGAACACCCATAACTTGTGAAGATGATCTTGAGAAGAATCTCTGACGTTCTGTCCTGAAGCAGTGGACCCCTTGGCACCCCCAGCTCCATCAGTCAGACCATGTGAGACACACCTCCGTCAGGTTCATGATTGCGCCTTTCTTCGTCGCACAAATCCGTTTGTGGCCCAATCTGCATGAGTCGGAGGGCCCAGACGTGCACCGTCGGACGTCGTCCGTGGGTGTCGTCGCAGCGTCGCACCGACGCGCCACGAACCGACCACAGAGGACGAGAAGCGACGAACGCTAAGGATGGGAGGAAATCTGTCGCGCAACATCGCGAACTGGCAGGACACGGCATGTAGCGGTGTAGGAGTAAGAGCCCCTATACTGCCGCGTAGCGGTAGATGGCATCATCACCCTTTGTAAGGCTTAGTCTTGTTGGTATTCATCCATAGGCAACTTGAAACGAATATTTAGACTTTAAACAGACATGTTTGGTACATCCATCTATGTGTGTATATACAATATGCTTGGTGGTTGGCCTGTCACACCTGTCGAGGACATGTGGGAGAAGGAAGTGAGTCCTGCGGAGGAAGAAAGAGCCAAAGTGAAGGCCGGCCCAGCGAGTTGCTGGTTGCGCAGCCAACAGCCAACCCAAGCCAGAGCCATAAACAGGTATCTCAAAGTAACGTAAAACGTGGTTCTCTTGGCAAGCACCGTAGCAAGCCGGAAAGTCTTTGCACAAACGATTCCAGCTAAAACTACTTCTAATCCAAACAGCCTTCGTCTGACCTCCGTTTGGGCCAGCGGAAAGCCAGCATTAGCTTGCCATTTCTCGGTGAATGACCGCATCTCAATGACCATGGGTCTGTGAAACCGGGAGCCCCTGGTTGAGACATGGTCAACCTGTGAAACGGTCCCCGCTTTTGACCCACAGCCACATGAAAGATGGGTTTCCAGGTTTCGGTTTGGAGGCTTCTTAGATCCTGCGACACGTTTCGACCACGTCCTGTTCCACGTCCCGTTCCACGTTTCGCAAGCCGCGTGTCGCCCTCAGGGCCGAGTCGAGAAGGTGCAAACGAACATCAACGAGGCCTGGGCGCCTGACGGACCCGGACGCAGACCCGGATGCTCCGTGGGGCCCATGTGCTCATACTTCGTCGCCCGTTGAAGGGCTCCGTGGCCGATCAAACGGGGGTGCGCCCGTTGGCCGATCGATCGGGGGTGCTTCAAAGTCTCTTTTTCGCAAGTCAAGTTTTGTCGCTTGTAATGAGCAAGTGCAAGCGATCTGAAAAAGGGACCGTCCTGAGACGACAGGCCATCCAGCGAACACCGATTTGAGAAGCTCTGAGAGTGGGATGGTCGGAGTTAATGGACAAAAAGGATACAAAAGGCCACTTGGTTTCCTTGAGAAAAGCTGGGTCCACTTACAGTAGATGCAGCCTGATGCAGCTCTGCTTCTTCCAGTCCATTTGGTCGGGACCGACCAAACCGACCAACCGGACTTGCGTGTAGTGTCTCACTCCTTTTCACTCTGTGCTTCGGAGCGCAGCGTCGTCTGGACGAGACGATCTGTGCCCCAGGATCACCAGCCAACACGCATTTGACGATCGCTGCCCCTGAGGGGCAACGCGAATGGTCTTACGAGACGGCCCTCACTTCTGCGTTTTCTCCACCTAGCTTGCTTCATCTTGGTCGAGATGTTACTGGCGGCAGTAAATCCTTAGGACCCGTTGTGATAACAATGAACCTGCAGAAACTCACACTTCTCACTGATTCTCACTCCAAGTCAATGTTTGTTTTAGGATCTTGACTGCAAAGAACATGCTTCCCAACGCAGAAGAAGATCGGCCTGCGAAGTACGTGGGCGACCTAAGGTCTGAAATCAGCCAGATAGTCTAATAGGCTGTTGGGCTGCTACCCTCGGGGAGGCTTCGAGAACTCGGTTCGAACACTTGACTTTCAGAATCAACGCCCGGTCGGGCCTCACTGATCTGTGATGGACGATGGACCCGAACACCCCGAAAAAGAACACTGCCTGATGACAGACCCACCGATCGAGCATGTGGATAGTGGTTCCGGTTGGCCATTCCAGAGCATTGCTGTTCCCGAAGGCTGCCCGGCCAATGTGCCAGTGCTCTTCCATATCTTGTTGGAGGTAAGGCAGCTAGTAGACAGATTGACCGCAAGCTAGTGGGATAGGATGTCAATGTTGCAGTGGAAGAGATTGTCTACATGGTGTAAGCTGAACACGACTGGCGGAGTGTGCTCTTTGCAGATCAGGGAGTTAAAAGCGGAAGCCGGCGGAGACTCTGAAGATAAGGATGAGAAGCTTTGGAGTGAGACATAGACACACTGGAGGAGCTCATCCACATGCTGTGCGGAATAGTACCATCAAAATAGGCCATGTGGAGATGTCAAGGGTCCACTCTATCCCAAGGGTCCACGAACTGCTTCATGTCCAGATGAAACACGACATGATGAATACATGATGATCCACGACAAACGCTCTGGATTGGAGAGTGTTGCCTGGATGGGCTCTGGACTTCAGTGATGCTAGTGTCCCTCGCTACAAAGTTTTTTCCCCCAAAGTCCATGGCCTGCCAACCCCTGTGCTTTCTCTCATTGATGCTAAGGCCTCTTTTTTGGGAAGAGGTTTTAGGTTTTAGGTCTCATTTTTCATTGCACCCTCAGCAAGGTGATTTGAAGTGAATCTAGTGTTGTCATTCTGGATTAGATTGTGAACATAGCAATGTCATGCAATGTCCAGATCACAACAAACACTGCCATACTCCCACAAAATCCCGACAGCAACCTTTTCTACTGTCTGCAGGATGATTCCAACCCACCAGAGGAAATGAGAGGTGGCAAGAGGCTTTGAATCGTTGCTCGGGGGTGGTCTGATTGTTTATGCAGGAAGAGGTTTTTTGATTTGGCTGAGACCCTCTCAACAAATAAGTTGTTGTCAAATCGATTTCGCACAGGGTAAGTCTATTTTGTACAGGACGAACTTGTACCATTGCGACCATGGACCCATGCGGTCCCTTGTGGGTGCAAACCAGGTCCACTCCTTTGGCCAAGGTCGACACCGCCCATCAGTCCCTGGTGCTTTATTTCCTGAGCCTCGGAGAGGACGGCCTCTGCGGTCCGAGACTTCGGTCTCCGCAACCGTGCCATGTCGTGTGACGAATAGAACTCGTGCCGTGGCGGAGCTACTAGACTCTTGATGAATAATTCACGCTCTCCAATATGAAGTGGGGGGTTCTGAATCAAGAGCCTACATTCCTGCACCGATTCAGTTCTTTGCGGCAAAACTGCAGGAGACGAAGCCATCTCGGCTGCGGCTCTCGCGTCTGAGCCCCTCTGCAGCACAGGTGGGTCGAACCCGGTCGCGTGCCACGCGGTCCGCAACGGGCAGAGACGGTGGGCGCCCCATCTGATTTGTGCCCAGGGCGAGAGATGGAAGAGCTGCGGAGATGCAGAACAAAGGTTTGAGCATTTTGCAGCTGGAGATTTTTCTGAAAATACATTTCAGCTACAATGAGGCCTTTTAGGATTGTGGTTGGTGTTGAAGCATGTTGAACCATCCAATTGGCAACTTTCTGGAGCCCTCTTGAACAAGACCCATATCAGTCAGACAGTCAGACTTGTCAAATTGCCAGATTCAGATATCGCACGGGGGCTCTCCAACGCTCGTTTTGAAGCCTGAGAAGGCAGACGTGGGTATCGCTCAACACTATTCCCAAACACGAAACATTCTACACCTCCTGTGAGACATGATAGCTTCTTTGTTTCCAATATCCTTTCACCAATCTTCCATCCACGTCCATCTCACCAGCGTCCAATTTGCTTTCTTCGTCTGCTCTTCACCCCGCAGATGCTACGACACATCCGGGACTTCCTGGGCGTGGTCTTTCAGATCCGAGAGGCCACCGAGCGGAGCCGAAGAGTCGCACCGTTGGACCGGCCGAAAGGAGGGGAGAGAGGGCGAGACGAAGGAGTTCGGTGATCGTTTTGGTTTCGTTTTGGTTGGTTTTGGGATGCCAGTGCGGAAGAGTGCGGGTGGTTGGGGTTTGGATCGAAAGCACTGGTTCGAGGGAAAGTCACAGATCACGAAAGCTTTGGAATTCCATCGACTAAATTGAACGAAGATCACCTAAAAGACTCCTGGGACGGAAGATTCATTTGATCGTTGAGAACATGGTGATCTTCGCCGCGCTGCTGATCACCGTGTCAGGACCATGGTGATTCCGGTAGCGTGGTGCTGTCTTGCATCGGTGGCCTCCTCAGATCCGTAGTAGAGGAGTCGGTGGTTCATGTGTTGTGCGCGAACACATTGGGTGATTCACAGTAGAGAGATGTACACAGCATGGCACATGTGTTTAAGGTGGTGGTTTCGGACATTTGGACTCTCAACCTATCCTTGGGATTCCTTCAAATGATTGAACCCACTGACTCCTACTTGGAAACAGTGAGTCGAAACCACCAACTACCAGGATCAACCAGGTGTGTATGGCTCCTAGATGGGCCTCAACTCGGCTGATCAAGCCCGGCTGTTCGCCCCTCACACCCTCCGCCGCCTTCAGAGTCTGTTTGAGGAGACTCGTTTGAGGTGCTGGAATCACCAACACCGCGCGGCGCACCTTCTAACGCTTGGGATGCCTAGCAGGGTCGGGTTCAGGAGCTCAGTGGAGCTCAGCGGAGCTCAGGGCTCGAGCACGTCCTGGGTGGGAAGGGGGGTTGTTGGAAAATGTTGGAAAGAATTCGGCCTCCGACTAGTGGCTAGTTCGAGGAAGAATATAGGGGACGACCATCTATTGGGGCGTCAGTTCATTCAGGCGGAGTGTTTGAACTTTTTCTATAGATTTGATTTAGAGTTGTTGATACTCTCATTGGGGTGATGAATGGCCAGGGCCACGCCAAGTCGACCAAGGTGTCGCGTGCAGGGCGACCTCAAAAGCACCTTGAGAAGCGAGAAAAGATCTGCGAACGTGAGAGCAGATCAGGGTAGCCGCGCAGCCTTCGAACTCTGAACCAAAGGAAAAGTTACATAAGTGACCCTTCCTCCAACAAACATGGAAGTGGATATAGCCCCCTCTTTCCACCATTTTCCACTTCCTTGTTGACTGTTGGAGTGTTGCCGGCTTAACCACCACCTCAGATGTTCTCGATATGTATATCCCGGCATTTACAGTCAGTGTCGGTATCGTGCAGGAACACCTCGGGGCTGTCCGTTTCGAGAAAGATCTCTTGGAAGAAACCCAGCAATGCTGAGGCTGAAAAAGGAGGGTTTTGCAGTTGCTTAAGGTCTGCTGAAAGTCTTCCTAACAAGGGGGTGTCTTTGCCGACCTCGCGGCATCGGCAAACGACAAAATCTCAGGATTTCACGTTGTTTTGGCTTCATGGATGCCTTCAAGATGCCTTCAGCCCTTCACCGACGGTGCTGCCCTTCAGCCCTTGGGGTTGAGTCGTGGAAACCGACCCTCTGTGTTCTCGGCCACCACATCAGGCGAGGATCTTCGATTTTTTCGCAGGGGCTTTGCGGCTTTCCAATTGCTTTCCATGTCGATGTTGGGGTGGTTGGGAGTGCACTCATCCTACGACGAAGCACTTGGGGCTTTCCATTGAATCGTGAACTGGCTCGAGCTGGTGAAGAAGCGAAGCTGGATCAAGATAAGCAATGGATAGACCATGGGAGGCCCAAGAAATTCCATTGCTGTTCATTTTTTTTAGAGGTTCGATTGCCTTCAAGTTATGTAAGCGATGGTTGATTGCAAGCCTGATCTTTTTTCTTTCACACATCAAGAACTCTCAATGGACCATGGATGGCATAGCGTGCGATGCTGAGTGGCGCTCCTGCGTTGCTTTGATCATTGTCTTGCACCCTTCTTTGACTGGTTCATTATATCTTTGAGGACCTTGTTCATGTCAAGAGAGTGACGGGAATCAACGAGAGCTCCGACTCAGTCACAGCAGGACAACGTCTGGAACAGGCTCTGGTGCCAAATCAAGTGTAGCGCCTGCTCTCAGGCCTTCCTTCCTAACCCACGGATCACTGAGGCCATCCGTGGCGCCCGGGACGGAGGCCCCGGGGGTGGCGATCCGGCGGCGATCCGAAAGTGCCGCGCCGGCGCGCCGCTTCGGGGTGTCCCACCGGCCGAAAAAGATCCGATGGAATCCACGATGATTCGGGGTGGTTGGATGTGAAGGGAGCGAAGCTGCCAGGCTACAGACTCGCCTTGCTTCGTCGCCCCGTCGCACCAAGGCCCAGCAGAGGCGGGATGCTCAACTCCGCGGGAGTGAAACCCGGGATGCTTCTCTACACTTCTTCTTACCCTGCCTGCATGGTCCAAGATCATGTAGATTGGAATTGGAAGTCAACAAATGTAAGGGGTGGGTCAGAATCGACTTGTCCCCAAAATAGATCCCAACATATCCTGTTGGTGTTTCAGGGATTCATTGAGAGTCTGTGAAGCGGTTCTTTCGATTGTTTGCTATTTGAAGAATGAGTGAAGCATCTGCAGATGACTTGGCAATGACCCGGTTTTGGGGATCAGGGCGGGTCAGAACATTCGACCAATGACCTGAGTGGCGGTGTAAAGCAGACAGTGTATAGACCACTCCAAAGCAGATCTCATGTCAGGATGGTGGATCAGCCAGCAGAGGCAGGGCTCCGGGGCCATGGATGCTCGAAGGAGTGCAGGTCTTGGGGGTGCAGGTCAAGGAACCTGGACTTGGTACTGGATTTGTCCTCGCATCTCTGTGGCTATGGCTCGAAAGGAGAGGATCTTTTCCCCCCCATGGCGTGCATGCCATGATGCGGATCCGCTGCTCGACGAAGCACAGAAGTGACGGCTTTTTGGCCGGCCCAAGCAAGGTGTTGGGTGTGTCATGCACATTGCAACAGTCTGTAGGCAAGTAATTATTTATATATATATTATATATATACATAGAATATAATATATACTATATATATATATATATATTGCCATTTCAAGAAAAGATAACATCATAGTCATGGTCATCATTGAGGCAACTTCATCATTAAGTCATCATCATCGTCATCATCACCAACCAAACTGGATGCCCCACAGCAATCACCGCTTCACCGTTTTGCTTGCGATCCCCCCCACAGTTTTCGTTTTCGAGGCACCCACGATTCGGCTATGTGAACCACTCAGCACTTGTGACCTGGGTTGACCGACTGACTCTGTGCGGGCGGAACGTTGATCTCTTTCAGATCAGGCTGGGCCTTCCTCGTTTTGGGCAGCCTGGCTCAACAACTCCCCCCTGGAGCAGGAGCGGGAGATGGAGACAGGAACTGTTGGGTCGGACACGAGCAGCATGCTGCGGATTCGGACGTGGATCACTCTCCATCGCCGTGTGGAGGAGACGCTCATCAACTGGTTCTGATTTGTTGGGTATGTAGTAGCGTCCTTGTTCCTGGTAGCGATGCCCTTTGCTCCTAGTAGCTTCTTGTTCCTAGTAGTAAGGCCAGGAGCCCCTATCCTTGCTCCTAGTAGCGTAGTAGCGATGCCAGGAGCTCCTAGTAGCGAACATTAATAGGCATGTTGGTGGATGTTTGTGGGTGCCTTTTGGGTTTGGTGATTGGCACCTAGTGGGCGCCTGATTGGTCTCAAGTTGACTCTCCCGAACGGGGGGGCGTGCACTGGCTCCTTGCAGTGTGCGGGGAATGTCAGCATAGGCGCTGAGGCATGCTAGACCTTGTTGGCATGTTGATTGATGTGCGTGAGGAGTTGATTGACATGTTATACCGTAAGGAAGACCAGGCATCACTTTCCCACCCTGCGCGACCTTTGTCAAGTGGGGGGTCGAGCTTATTGTGTTCACCGTCAGCTCCGGCTGGGTGAGAGTCTTAGGTACTCACTTGCAAAGCAAGGCTTCCGCAGAATCCCAGATCAATCCCATGGAAAACGAAACAAAACAGCATCATACAGCATATATATATATATATTTCTTGTGATCCGCCGTGGTCGTCTACCTTCCACAACCACTGCTGAAATCACCCTGAAGTGACCCTCAAAAGTTCCGAAAAAGGCGCACCCATTGACCCACACACGTCTTTCGCGCCTCGCCCCCGTTCTCCCCCAACCTCATCCACTCCGCACGACGCCGCGGGACCGGTCGTGCCGTGGACCTGGTGAGGAGTGGCCGATGTGGCGCACACGCCGTGGTGGATCCTGGCCGGGGTCACTCCGGAGGGTCCCAGCGCCTCGGTCCACCCGCGTCGTGGTGTGAAACCGAAAGGCGCGGTGAGGCAACGGACCGTGCCAGGCGCTTTTCAAACGGTGGTCGGACAGGCACGGTGAGCCAGTTGGTGTGGGTAGTTTCATTCTTTTGGATCCAGGTAGGCGATTCACTTGATTTGGTGGTCGATGGGGAGTATATAATGCTTTCTTGGGCTTGTGCCACTTGCTCAATGAGAAGTTGTTCACCTGTGACCAAGCTGGATTGTTGGAGTCGAGCCCTTGCTACGTGTTGTACGAAAACTGCAATTTCTTTCTTGGTCAATGGAAGGAGGGTACGTGTTTTTGTACGGCTCAAATCTCAAGGCATTGACATGGGCACCTACAAGATGTCGAGCTTTTCCAAGAGCCAACAGGAGCGGGCCAGTTTCCTGAAGTCTCTCAAGGAGGCATTGAAAGAAGCGGACGCATGTGAGATTGGTATTGACATGCATTGACATACTTCGATACCATTTAGATTAGAGATGCTTCTGAACCGCAGAATGTTATGTTTTTGCTTGGCAGGAGCAGTTTGGGGTCAACGAGCGCCGTGGGCTTAGACTCACTTCAGTTGGGGTCTTGCAGCTGTGGGAATGGTCATCCTGCAGCAAAACTGTTCGATGAAAACAACAGACTCCTTGTCCTGCAGAGAGTCATTCATTGTCACACGTAGTTTTCCCGTGCCAGAAGAGTACCTTGGTGGGAAGCGGGGCTGCTTACATGCTTGCATTCAGGGTGAAAGCACCAGGGAGCTTCCATTTAAGGCACATGACCCCCGGTTCATTGGTTTAAACTGTCCGTGGGCTTTGAAAAGAAGAGCATGCTGCACCCATGCCGTCCTTCAAATAACTTTTGGTCAGTGACCCAACTCCGCAAAAGCTAGGGGACAACCAGGCTGTATTGTTTCTTGATCATCAAACTTTCAAGGGCAAACCTCCTACTTGTAAGTGGAACACATCGACTGTGCATCTCTCGATCCCTCACACAGCCTCCCACGCCGAATCCCACTCCGGAACCCAGGAATCTGGGATCCACATGATGCCTGATTGTTCCAAAACCATCCCAAAACCCAAGTTTGCAAAGTTGGATCACTGACTCTCCCCACATCCCAAGAAGCATTTAACCCCCAAAAACCCAGCCACTCCTTCACATCTTCCTTGCAACACTTCGGATCCCTCGACTCCCTCCCGCAAAAAACCTTAGGATCTGTCTCCACCGGGGTCTCTCTAGGAACAAGAAGCTACGAACGGGGCTCCAGGGCATCGCTCCTAGGAGCAAGGAGGCTACGAACGGGGCTCCTCTTACTAGGAACAAGGACGCTACAAGGACTCTCTCTCTCTCTCTCTGTCTCCACCGGCGCAGATGGGCAGATCGTCCACTGGAGTCGCTTCACGGCGGCCACTGCCTCCCTGGCGCCCTGCGCCGAGCCGGACGACCGGCAGCTGGGCCTCAACGAGGCGGAGACCATGCGACTCCTGGGGAAGGCGTTGACCATAGGCCGGGGTGGGAGGGAGGAGAGGTAGATAGATGGGCCGTGTCGGGGTAGATGAGATGGTCGTGCCGGGGGTTGGTAGGAGAGGCAGTTTGAGAAGTGATAGAGAATGCGGGAGATGTTGGTAGAGAGGAAAAAAGAACAAATGGGCGGAGCGAAGATAGAATAGGGATTGTGGAGCATTTTGGCGTTCCTAGGGCAGATGTTGATCGCCCAGAAGATCGTTTTCAATCCAAGAAAGGGATCAATCTTGACTAAGTTTTGGGCAAACTCAACTCTTGTTTTGCAAGGCTGGCA